CCACGTCCGTGGAGCAGATCGCGAAGCCCCCCAGTTCGTCTGCGAATGGGTCTGGGCTCGAAGTGGAGGTGAAGATTGTGGGCACGGACGCCATGATTAGGGTTCAATCGGAGAATGTGAACTACCCATCCGCCAGATTAATGGCGGCGCTGCGGGACTTGGAGTTGCAGATCCACCATGCGAGCTTGTCTTGCATCAACGAGCTCATGCTTCAAGATATTGTGCTGAAGGTTCCAGAAAACATGAGAAGCGAAGACAGCCTCAAATCTGCCCTTCTTAGAATATTAGATCAGAACTAAAAAGCAGGACCGACGGATCGTTCAAGGCAATGTGTGTGTCCGCTTGCATCGAGTTCAATCTCTCTTCCGGTACATTAGAGTTGTCTAAAAACATGTTCGATCGTTCAATTGGGTAAACCTGATTTTCAGTTCGCCAAGTTTGAATTTATTTATTTATCTCTGTATTAATAAATAATTGAAGTTCCTTATTGGTTTTTTTTATTTGTTGTGTTTTGTAAAATATGTAATTAATTATGGAGATAAATATTTTCGTACGAAACGTTGATTTTTTTTCGTTGTTGGAAGCGTCATTACTAGTAACGTGTTCCCCATGTTTATGGCACAGTGGGACTTTAGGAGCAAGATAGTCCAACCATAGTTGGGTGAATCAAATGAATCCAGGGATGACAGATATTTTACGCACGTTCCTAAATGGACTCACAAGTGGGGGTGTCTAATAAACGAAGGTGCAGAAAAACTCGTGAAGGGTACATCGTCCTGTCGGAAAGAACAATTGCTTACGCGCAAAATTTATCTTTTAACTGTTGTGCATCACAACATAAACCTCCTCGCATCGCATCAACAGTACCGCTAGTTATGAACGCGCGATCGGACGACTGTTGTTAGCAGTTCTCAGAATTGATTAAAGGACAAAAAAATTCTGGTTTTTGCAGGGTGTGATTAATTTTGATTTGTTGGCCTGAAGTGTACCACTCGTGCCCTTTCTTTTGTGGACGAAATGAAATGGAATATCAACTGCGGATGTGTTTTTGGGGTCCTCGGACATGAGAATCTAGGACCCACCCACCACCACTAGAAAATACTATTAAACAAAGAAAACAAAACACACTAGGAAAATGTGCTTTTCATGCATCTATTATTATTATTATTTTTTAATGGATTTCTTTTTCGGTGGTAACGTGCGATGCAGGTTGAAGCCTAAATAGATTAGAAAAAAAAAAGAAGAAGAAAAAAGGGGGGTTGTGGATTGTTATTGGATAGTGTTTGCTTGATTCTTTGCGCATAAAACAAAATGGCAAAGATTCAATCGATGAGACAATGAAGGAAAGCGAGAGCCACCACTATTGCTTTGTATTTTTGTTGTTGTGTGCCTTCTTTATTGGGCTTTGGTTGGTCTTCTGACTTTTTGGTTTTAACCCTAAAGCGGTTTGCTGAAGAGAGTTCATTTCCTTCAAATATAGGAGGTTAATTGAGAAAGACTACCATCGTTGATTTTCTAGAAGAAGGGGATCCCAATGCTGTATTGCCTAAATGAACTCTAATGCTAACGTCATATAAATTTTTCAGCAGACTTTTCGCTGGTATAAGAAAATTGTGTTTCTCATTGACATGTCTTGATCGGCGGAAAAAATTTGTGTAAAATTTGAATATTATTGTTTTGTTATTTCCGACCAATCACGTTATGCTAAATGGAAAGATTATCATGCGTGACATAGTGTAATTGGCCGGGAATAACAAAATAATGCTATCTCCTTTTCACACGAGTGTTTCTTTTTGATAGGATGTTAAGTTTGATGAATTTGAGACACCAAAATATTATACCAATTTTTTTTATATAAACACGAGTGATAGTCTAATCTACTCTACATTAATCAATCTACATAGAGAAATTCGAACTAGAATACAAAGAAGCGCGATTGACTACCATGATCAACTTTCATAACTCAAGTTTACATTATCCCAACTTTTTAGATTCCAAAATATGTGGCAACTTATCATTTATTGCTGTCTGGGCCTATGTAAACTTTAACCAAAAGGTGGAATAAATTGTTGCTTACTTTTGGCCATTCTAATTCGTGTAACTTTCAACTTGATTCCTCGATTGGGCTGAATTGGTGTTATAGATTCTAAATGAGTGATATTGGGCCCAGAGTGTTGGTATACCCTTACTTTTGGACTTGGAAAATGATCATTAACTCATGAATAAATATTAGGCCCTTTTGGTAACATTTTTGAAGAAGGTTTTCGGAGAATATTTTATCAGAATGAAAACGAGAAAACGAATTTATATTTTCAGGATTCGAAAATATATCTAGTAGATTAATTGGAAAACATATTCAGAAAATAAAAAATAGTGAAAACGTGTATGGAAGGACAATTTGAGAATAATACTTTGTGAGTTATTTTTCGAGTATATTTAATTTAACATAAACACGAAATTGAATAATTTATGATGGTTTTATCATAAAATTAATATACACTGGTGTAGCAAAATAAAATAATGAAGTGGAACAAGAAAACTGAAAATTTAAAAAAATGACAAATTTAAAAAAAAATTAAAAATGGAAAGAAGAAATAAAAATCAGACCAACAAAAAAGAAAAAGAAAAAAGAAAGCCATCAGACCAATACATTGGGTAGAAAATGAAAACAATAATTTGGTGTTTTCAGTTTTTGTACATGAGGTTGAATTTGTTTTCATAAAACAATTCCAGTGAAAATGAAAACGACATACCAAACGTGTTTTTGGTAGAAAATGAAAACGGGGCCTTAAAAACGTTACCGAACAGCTCCTTATGTATCTCAATTTTTTATACAAAGAGTAGTCTAAGAGGGTGTATCCAATTGGATCCCAAGCCTCTGTATTTAGAGACTACACATTTACATGTATTTCACTAAATCTAAACCATTATAATAATCTAGCCCCTTAGAATGTGACACAACACATCAAGTTTTTTTTCTTTCACTAAACGTACGTTAAGTTTTATTTGTGGTAAACTAAACCCTCGACTAGAGCATGTTTTATTTGTGTCTTTCTCACTGATTTCTGCTCTCTCTTTTCTCTCCGATTCAATAAACAATTTCCCATGGAATTAATATTCAAATCCAAATGAAATGGAAAAACCTCAAAAATTCTTATCACAATCCAGCCTCTTATGAATAGATAATTTCTTTGAAGACAAAATAAAGACAGATCCATTACAATCTGATTATGAGGGGAAGGGAGGAGATAACCGCATAAAAGAACAACTAAAAAACTATTTCTCCAGAAGATGCATGAATCAACACATGCGTGGTGGAAAAAAACAAAAACAAAAAACTATTTTTTACTTGATTGGGTTTGAAGATCACTCGGTAACTCACTTGTCGATTTTGCTCACTAATGCGAAACTCTCAGTGGAAGAAATGTAAAGGGGTTTGAATGAAGAAGAGAGTGAGTGGTTCGCACTCTGTTGGGCATTCTGAAAACTAGGTAGTGAAAAAGACCGAACCTTTATCGAACACCTCTGGTTCAAGAACTCTGAGGCAGATTGAAACTCGTCTAAACTATGAGGCAAATAAAAAAACTATGGTTCAAGAACTCTGAGGTAGATCAAAAAACTTGATGAGTTGTCGGCTAAGGCAGATCGAAACTCGTCTGCCTTAGCCAAGTAATCATAAAATTACTCGGTTGGGGTTTCCATTGAACCCAAAAAGGGAGGGGCATCAATTAAGCAGGGATAAAAGGAAGATGACCAAAACGTGAAAAAGAAAAAGCAACAAGACGAGAGGGAAACACGAAAGGAGAAAAAAAAAAAAAAAACACATAACTAACTGCAAAAGCTAACGTCTATTTAGAGAAAGAAAAAAAAAACTTGATGATGTGTTATGTTCTAGAGGGTTGGATTATTATAATGGCTTAGATTTAGTGATTTTTTAAAAGTCACAACTGGATACCACCAAATTTTCACCAAAAAAATAAAATAAAAAAAATTAGCCAACAAAATTGAGTTTAAAAGTCATAATGAAATACAACTAGATTTTTATAAATGCGTTAAAATTTTAAATTGGATATCTCCAGACTTTTAAACTCTATAAAAATCTTTAAAAGTTTAAATTGGTTACACTCCTTGAACTTACTATAAATTAATCTAATATACCAGAAAAGTGCTCCAAACTTGAGTGTAAGAAGACAGGCTCATTGCAAGCTAAATGGTCTAGCCCACATATGCTATTTATCTTATTTTAAGAAAGAATAAAGTTTACAATATCTTTAATTCACCGAACAAAAGATATAAAAGAGTAAATGATAAGAGCATCTCCAACTCATATGTCAAATCCATGTAGGATTTTGATTACTATGTTGGAGCAACTTTACCCTTTAATTTTTACCATTTCATGTCCATGTGGTAATTTGACATATCGGTTTGAGATGCTCTTATACAAATACCCATATAGAGCCTATTTTAAGAGAAAATTCCAAAACTGGCCACTTGTCATTTTCTAATTGGTTCTTAAAAAATATTAACACACTAAAAAACAATTAAAAAACAACAAATGACTAGTTTTTAATTTTTCCATCAAAATAGACTTTATAAGGACTTTTGTATAATATGTCAATTTTAGCATATTCGATATGTCGATTTGATTGTATAATAGGGTTTAAATTCGATACATACCCATTACGAAAAAATAAAAATTATGCAGCAACAGCCACACGAAATAAAACAAAAAATGTCACTCGTTGTTCTTTTCCAAGCAATTAGGTTCTAGTTTGTTTCAATCGCCACACCAATTAATCGAACACAAAAATGCTACTTTCATATTAGTTGTTACACAATCAAACATTAATATCAATCAAAGTGTCGTCTCCACATTAATTACATTATTAAACATCAAACAACGAGCAAGAAACAAAAATGTCACCTCAAATTTTATTACACTCTAAGATTTGATCATATTTATTTCCACATTGCAAGTAGTCAAACACCATATGCCTCATCTATAAGATTTAGAATTTATACTAATTAAGTTTAATTAACTCGATTCAATCACCCAATGTTGCCCATCAACCTTAATCTTGAGTCCGTAAACTCGGGCAAACAAAGTTACCGCCCTCCTCACCCCGTGGTCATCCGCTGCGGTAAAATAATCGTGCCCGAAAATAACCCCGCCGGGCCGCAAAATCCGGTAAGCCCGAATAATATCGGACCAGGCTGAATTAAAATCATGACCCGCATCCACTTCGATCAAATCCCCGTACACGCCCATCTTACAGAGCCAGTCAAGACCCGACCCGGTAGAGAACGGAATGGGCAAGACCGTCTCGGTTGCGTTGACCGAGACGACGTTCTGCATGAACTGGTAGAGCAGCAAAACGTCGCCGCTCCGGGGGCCGAGGCCGCCGAACTGGGCACGGAAGCCCGGCCAGCCGCGGAAGTCGTCGAGGCAGAGGATCTGGGTGTCCTTGAGGCCGAGCTGGCTGGTCAAGCCGGCCATGTGGATGGCGGAGGCGCCAAGGAAGGTGCCGATTTCGATGATGGTTTTGGGTTGGACTTTTTGGATGAGGTTTTGGAAAACGGGGCCGTTTGAGCCCCAGCCTTTGACGCGGCTGCGGCGGAGAAGGGGGGTGGCGTAGGGAGGGGGGAAGTTGACGAAGGGGGAGGGGGAGTTGAAGAGGCGGTCTAGGATGGGGTGGCGGGTGGGGGGGGA